CTGAAACACAGCTCAAGTTCAGTCTTCTAACACTCATGTCTTTCAAACAACACAGCTTTTCCAGTCTTAATTTTCCATACTTGATATAAACAAGCTAATATGCCCTTGATTCCACAAAGACATATTCAGTCCTGAGAGGTCCCTAGTCAAATCCTTTTGTCTTCCTCGAAGGCCTCAAAATGAGGATTCCCCAGGCAAGTCTTAAACTTGAGATCCTCTTGCTTCAACCTCCTGAATAATTGGGATTAGTGACAGGCCTGATTCTGTTTCTAATAAAGAATCATTTAAAAGTGTGTACAAACCAGGTACTACAGTACACATCTGTAATCATATCATTAAGGGTCGAGGGCAAGAGGTCATCTTTAGCCACACGGCAAGTTCAAGCTAGCTCAAGGTAAACAAGAACCAGGGCTGGGGATGGGGGGGGATGCAATATGAGTACACACATACATAAGGTATGTATGTTATTCTTAGTAATCACTTTACTTTCAATTTTAATAAACTAATATAGTCTCATAAGAAAAATTTAGGTTAGTCTGAAATTTCATGACTACTAAAATTAGATTTCTAATGATTCTCCTGCTAATTCAGCACAGGTAAGCAAGAACAACTGTGAAGCATTACAGCCAGACTGCTGAGTTCAGGAGCTGAGAGAGCTTCCGTTTTCATGCTAATTCCACCTTCAGTCACAGGCTGGTCTGGAATAATGTGGTGAAGTTGGGGTAGATGAAACACTTACAGAGCAGTTGCTTTCACATGGAAACTGTAACCAAGACAAACCTTCTTGTAAGATGGACTTCCAAGGACATTAAATCATAAGAAATTGTTTCAGCAGCTGCTTTGAGCTGAGCATACATAACACAAGACATCTGGCTGCCTGTGCATTTTCAGTTCATTTAAAAAGTATAAACACATTAAAACACTGACCGTGCGATGCACTGTAGCACTGTCTGCTCCTCTACACAGCTGGTCCATTCGCTGTGTTCACAGCCGCTTTCTTATCCAAACAGATTTACTACTTCCAACTCCCTAACCTCAACAAAACATGATCAATAAAGGCTGAAATCTGTACACATTCAACTGTTGGGACTTGGCAATGAAAACAAATGGTATTAAAAGCCTAATTTTGTGTTTGTTTCAGACTGAGTCTTACTATGTTACCTAGGCTGGTCTGGAACTCATTATGTAGCCCAGGCTATCCATTAACTCATCATCTTATTGCCTCAGTCTCCCAAGAACTAGGGTTATAGGCATGTGTAACCTGACCTGGTTAATTTTAAAATTATATCAATTTAGTTTTAAAATTAGATCAAAAACATATAAAACATCTAGCTTAATGTGATTAGAAAAGAGCAGGAAATACGTAAGTTTTCCACACCCATCTGAAAAAACAAAATACAAAACCTCACCACAGAGACAACCAAGACAGGAACTGGTTTTCTCCTACAGGAGTACAGGTAAGTGAGGCTGAGCACTCACAGCAAACTTGTGATCTCACCAACAGCCCATGCTCCCAGAGCCCAGCCTTTGCAAGTGACTCTTAACCATAGTTCAGTATGACCTGAGCACGACCTTACATTCCATATTCCAAGCTAGAAAAGGGCAGGGCAAGAAACAAAGGACTTGAAATGCATGTGCTCTGTGAGGTGACAACTGGTGGCTTATGAATCTCTGCAACAGTGTAAACCATGTGACATGGGTACAAGGAGGAGACTGTAAGCTGGGCTTACATGATCACCCTGGGCAATACTAAAATTCTACTCAAAACAAAGAGAAAACTGGCAGACATGAACAAGTCCATGTATCACAAGACATCCTGGAAGCTGTCCCCATGTCCTTCCCTGGCAGGCAAGTCTTCTTATCTCAGCTGACCATGCATCAACGCAGCACAAGGCATGGTGTGTCTCTCGGGCTCTAAGAAAAATATGGAATCATGGACAGTATCTCCAAGAGCCTATGTACTCACAAATGCTTGTCTTTTGTTTCTGGGCCAGAGTCAAATAGCCAGTTCTGAAAAAATCCCTCTGTGTTTGTTATTTTATGATGATAAACCTGAAGAACTTCTTTATCTACAAACTACTTCCTTTACATAGCTAGAGATACAGGTCAGTGGATAGAGTGCATGTCTAGCATGCCTGGGTGTAGCCCCCAGAAAGTAGATGTGGTGGAACAGACAAGTGGTCTCTACACTCAAGAGATAAAAACAGGAGGAAAAAATGTTCAAGGTTGGGGCTAGAAAGATGGCTCAGCAGTTAAGAGCACTGGATGTTCTTCCAAAGAACTCAGGTTTAATACCTAGCACCTACCTTAGTGGCTCACATCCTTCTACAATTCCAGTTCTAGGGCGTCCTAAATCCTCTTTTGGTATCCTCAGACAATGAACATATATGCTACACAGACATGCATGTAGGCAAAACACTGATACATAAAAAACAATTTTTTGGGCCGGGCGGTGGTGGTGCACGCCTTTAATCTCAGCACTTGGGAGGCAGAGGCAGAGGCAGGCGGATTTCTGAGTTCGAGGCCAGCCTGGTCTACAGAGTGAGTTCCAGGACACCCAGGGCTATACAGAGAAACCCTGTCTCGGAAAACCAAAATAATAATAATAATAATAATTTTTTGTAAAGTCAAAGTTATTCTCAGCTACATAGTAAACTCAAGGGCAGTCTGGGATACATGAGACCCTATCTAATAAATAAATGTAATTCCTTTAAAATATGTATCTCCAGAACCAGAAAGATAGATCAGGTGAAGGTGCTTACCATCATACATGTGTGTGCATGTATGTGCCATAGCATATGTATGGAAGTCAAAGGATAACTGTAAGATTAAGTTCTCTCCTTCTATCATGTGGGTCCTGAGTTCATGTATTGAACTCTGGTTATCATACATGCCCACACATGGATCCATGTCCATATGCATGCACACACACAATAAATAAGGAGATATGTATATTCTCATCCTGACTACTCAGACAGCTGAAGATGGAAGACTGAGACATGACACCAGCAAGGCCAACATAAAAGGTTCTGTCTCAAGAATCAGTCAGTCCATTTTATAAATTTTCCAAAGTAATAAAAGTGTCTCTTGTGATAGAAGAGTGTCACCACAAACATTACAAAGGTTTGTAGCCTTCCAAAGGGCCATGATACATGAATGCACAGTCAGCATATAAAGGAAGGCAATGACGGAAACAGCTAACAAGGATTCCAGAGGAGAATCTGTTATGAGAGAGGTGATAAGCAACAACTCATAATGAGTAGACATTTTTATACACATAGGAACTGCACTGAGCTGCAGCGATGGAAACCGGTTCCAGCAGCATAAACAACTAAGGGTTTAGTTTGTCACATGAGACATTCAGGGTGAGGGAGAGAGAACAGCAGTTGTTGACCTTGGTTCAGGGCTCAGTGACATCAAAGCAAAACCTCCAGGAGACTACTGAGTCGTGGTGCCAGGATGGGGGTGCAGCATAGAGGATCTCATCTACGTTCCAGGACACAGGAAAAAGGCTGTCAGGAGAACCACAGGCCTCTTCACTGAGGGAGCTCCCTGTGAAGAACTTCACTAAGAGACCTCATTGGAGGACATCCCCAACTACATCTCAAGGAATACACCTAGCTTCAAAGAACACTGCAAAGAAATCTGCCCTCTTTAAAATTGTCTCAAAACAAAACCAAGAAGCTAAGGAAAAAAGAGAACACTGTGATCAGTTTGCTTTTTCTATCACACAGACTAGATTCAATTTGCCTTTCTCAAAGTCTTTATAGAGACCTGTAAGAGTTCTTCTTACCGAAGTTAATATAACCTTCTGCCTACCACGTTAATATTACTGAAGGATTTAATCATTCTCCCTTAACATGAAATTCTTGTTTGATAGCGATGTAGTTTGAATAAAAATGGGCCCCAAACCTCAAACACATCTGAGTGCTTTGTTCCCAGTTGCTGGAACTGTAGGAGCTATGGCTTTACTGGGGGAGGTGTGCTGCTGGGAGCGAGCTTTGAGGTTTCAAAAGCCCACCATTCCCAGATAGCTCTCTCTACCTTGTGGTTGTTGTCTCAATGTGAGCTCTCAGCTCCTGCTCCAAGTACCATGCCTGCCTGTCTGCCTGCCTGCCTGAGGCCATGCTCCCTGCCAGGATGGCCAAAATCTCTACTAATATCTGAAACCATGACCTCCAAATTAAATGTTTTGTTTTGTTTAAGTGGCCTTGCTCATGGTGCTTTGTCACAGCAATAGAAAAGCAAGCAAGTCAGGTGGATACAGTCTATATACACCAGGCAAAAGAGAAAGAATGGCTTGAGTGTGGAATCCTTAACCTGCCCCAGAACCTACGAGCCCTTCCACACAGGGCCTGGGCAGATAGCTCAGTAGACCCTCAATTAGCATCCTCATCCCGCACCATGTCAAATCCTAGTTTGGTGGCACACCGGGAACCTAGCGACGATGGCGCGCCTGAGGCTTGCTGGCCACGTCAAACAAGTCCAGGTTCCATAAAAGACTCTGGCTCAGAAAATAAGGGGAGCTGAGCGTGGTAGCCCACACCTCTAATCCCAGCACTCGGGAAGCAGAGGCAGGGGGATACCTGTGAGTTTGAGGCCAGCTTGGTCAACATAGGGTGTTCTAGGGTAACCAGAGTTACACTCTAAGTCCCTATCTCAAAAAGAAAAAGAGAGTGGGGGGGGGGGGCCGGGAAGAAAAAACTAAAGGAGAGAAGAATGATTAAGGAATTCACCCAACACTCACTACTCTCTCTGCACACACCTGCCCCGCCCCACCTTACCATGTACACACCTGCCCCTGCCCTACCTCACATTGTACACACCTGCCCCTGCCCCTCCTCACCTCACCTCGTCCTCTCTCTCAGCACAGACACACACACACACACACACACACACACACACACACACACACACACACACTCACACACCTCTTCAGCACAGTCAATTCTCATTTTCATTACAGAATGAAGACCAAGCCCGGCTCAGGCAGAACTTACAAGAGTGGAGTATCAGTGATTAACTGTATCAAGCTGCAGAGTAATTCTTCCAAAAGATCTTCAGAGTCAGAACCTAGTGAGACACACAAAGCTTTGTTTTGACAAGGTAGACAATAGATGAAATTACTTAGATGTTAAGTTTTCACTTCTAATAAGAAAAAATTATTATATATATATATATATATATATTCAAACACTATTTTGACCTCTGAATAAAATCCAGATCATGAGCAAGTCAACACTTAATACAGTCTTAATACTGACTTTCTGTGATTTTCCTTTTGTATTAGTGTATGTGCCATAGCACACGTGTGAAAGGCAGAAGACAACTCCTTGGCGTTGGTTTTCTCCTTCTACCTTTATGTGAGTTTCAGAGTTAGAAAAAAGCTTGTTGGGCGTGCATGACTTGCTTAACTATCTCACTGGCTCTATTTCTGCTTTCCTTTTAAGACTGGGTCTCACTGTGTAGTCCTCAACTGGCAAGTGTCCCCCAAATTCTGAGATTATAAGTATGTACTGTAGGCAGGAGAGCTGGCCCTGGCACTCACCTGCTACAGCACTTGGGAGAGCAGGCCCTGTACCTTACCTGGGCAGCACAGTAGAGCTGGCCCTGGATATGGGGGTTGCAGGTGAGCAGGCCCCAAGGGCATGAGCGCAGGAGTGTCAACCCTACTTCTTGTGTGCTGTGTGTTGGTATGGATGGATGAGGGAGAGTGCTGTCCTTCCCTCCCTCATCCCTCACCACCTATGGCAGGTAGAAGATTTGGTTCCAGGGTCATGAGAGTGACAGAACTGGCTATGTCCCTCATCTGCGACAACACTTGGGAGAGTGGGCCTTGCCTGGGCAGCAGGGTGGAGCTGGCCGTGGTTACATGGGTTGCCAGTGAACCAGGCCAAGGGTGTGAGAGCAGAAGAGCTGGAGGGCAGAGTAGCTCAGACACTTCTCAGGCCCAGATCCAGGGCTTTTAATCAGTCCACCCCAACATCTACCCCACTGATGAATTGCTGGAGTGCATGAAGGGGTGAGTCCTACAGATCCAAAACTGCAGGATCTCCATGACACAGGGCAACAATAGGATATCCAAGAGGAGTCCTAGAGTGTTTTCAGTATTGATAGCATAGCAGAAGCCAGACAAAAGGGAATACTACTGGCACACTGTGACACACTCCAGCTTCCACAACAACATCTTTTTTCTCTGTTGGGGAGGGGTTGCAAGGGTGGAAGGCAGGTGTGGGGGGGGGGAATGAGTGGAACTGGGGTGCATGATGTGAAATTCACAAAGAATCAACAAAATTAAAAAAAAAAACCACGACCTTAAGGCGCCTACAGGCTGGTGATTTTCACATTTCTCATACTTCACACTGCTTCTTCTAATGGGATTTTATGTTAAAGTCAAAATACATTTTTTTAAAAGCAGCTTTAGCTGCTTCACCTGAAGCAAAGCTATTTAGACCTATATCCCCCCCCACCCCCCATGTTCATATGACCTTGCCCTTGATTCTGATGAGCTCCATGGCCCCTTTGCAATCCACAGGGGACAGAATGAATCTCGACAAGAAGGCAATCACTCTTTACAAACAAAAGTCAAAGACAAGATGACTTTCCTGGTTAGAGAATCGTAAGTGGCAAGGACAGGATGTGACCTGTCATCCCAACACAAAGCATTTCTGTCCCAAACTCCCACAGCCAAGGGACCTCCACACAGCTTAAGCCAGAGCACTGTGACTTCTGGTTTGGGTTTGGACACTCATGACATCAACTCCTTCATAAAATGATTTCCTCAGGTCGTGTACAGTCTCGCAACTGCTCAGTGTCCTTTGCTCTCTTGGCAGCACTCCTCCAGATCAAACTGTCTCCCATCCAAGCACGCGGCCGGACAGACTCTGGTCAGTTCACAGATCGGACAAGACCCAGAGCAGTCAGCGTGCCACAGCTGCAGACACTCACCAACTGTCTACTGGTGTGTCCAAGATGAGTGACCATTATTATTATTTTTTTTTTTTTGGTTTTTCGAGACAGGGTTTCTCTGTGTAGCCCTGGCTGTCCTGGAACTCACTCTGTAGACCAGGCTAGCCTCGAACTCTTGAACTCAGAAATCCGCCTGCCTCTGCCTCCCAAGTGCTGGGATTAAAGGCGTGTGCTACCACCGCCTGGTGTGTGACCATTATCTCAAACTCAGTGTGTTCAAAAAACGAGTGCAGTATTTCTAACACTTCTCTAGTTTACCTCTTTTTAATTTTATGTGCATGAATGCTCTGCCTACATGTATATGGGCAGCACAGAGATCCCAGAAGAGGGAGCTTGGTCCCCCAAAAGTTGTAAGCCACCATGCGAGTGCTGGGGTTCAAACCCCCATCCTCTGTTAGAGCACCCAGTGCTCTCACCACTGAGCCATCTCTCTAACCCAACACACTTCTTTCTTATTTTCATTTTTGATGACTGCACCAGTAGCACAACGCTAAAATCCAGACTTGGCCACCCTTCTGTATCCTCTTGACTATGCAGTCTGCTTCTCTGATACAGTCTCGTTTTTGTTTGTTGAGAAAAGAGCACACTATGTAGCCTGGGATAACCCTGAACTAGAGCTCCTTGCACCTCAGGCCGGCATGACAGACACACAGCCCCTCCTGGCCTCCTGACCCGGAAGCTCTCTCATCGTGTTCTTATTCACTACTTCATGATCTCAATTCAGTTAAGCAGGTTTAGTACATTCAAACTCACTCTTACATACCCGGTCAGCCACCCACTTGGGAGTTTACCCTCCAATTTCTGCCTTACCTCCAGGTTGTTATTAAAAGTAGCTAACATAACTCTCTTTCACTTTCTTAGATAATTTTTATCATTTAAGCTAATGATTATGTATCAAAAAAAAGTGGAGATCCTTACTGATCACCAGAAGCAAAGCAGTAATGAAACAAACAAACAAACACATGTGGACCAGTCATTCAAAGAAATAGATGATGAAAGAATAGAGATGTTCTGCACTTATAAGCTCTGGCTGTTCTTGCAGAACCCAGGTGCAGTTTCCAGCATCCACAAGGACACTCACACTGTCCATCACCCTCTCTGGCCTCTCCAGGCACTGTGCATGTACACGATGCATATACATACAAAACAGTCAGACACAGGGAGTGAAAATAAATCTTTTTGTTTGTTTGTTTGTTTTTTGGTTTTTCGAGACAGGGTTTCTCTGTGTAGCCCTGGCTGTCCTGGAACTCACTCTGTAGACCAGGCTGGCCTCGAACTTAGACCTCCTGCCTCTGCCTCCCAAGAGCTGGGATCAAAGGCGTGCGCCACCACCGCCCGGCAATAAATTTTTACAAAAAAAAAAAACAAAATAAAGGACTACACTGGGCAGTGGTAGCGCACACCTTTAATCTCAGTGCTTGGGAGGCAGAGGCAGGAGGATTTCTGAGTTCTAGGCCAGCCTGGTCTACAGAGTGAGTTCCAGGACACCCAGGGCTATACAGAGAAACCCTGTCTCGAAAACAAAACAAAACAAGCACTGTTAAAGAGAGATGTAACTGTCACTGCTCTTCAGCACTCAGGACAGGACAGGCTCTATGTGCTGCCCAAAGCACGCTATATCAGTGACAAATGCTAAAACCTTAATCAAGTGCAGTCACATGCCTCAGAAACAGTCTGCAGTGACTAAAAGCCAGAATAAAAGGATTTCTTCAAAACAGAACATGCCACAGGCATGGTGGTGCATGGTAGTGCACAGCAGCAAGCCTGGCACATGGAAGGAAGGCCAGCTGGGACCACAGAGTCAGTGCCAATGACGCACATACAGTCAGATTTATTATACACCTATATTCAGAAAATCTTGGTGGAGTCTATGTTTGCCTATTTTCGTTGGAGTTACTCTAAAATATTAAATATTTTTAATTAGCATTCTAAAATGCTGTTATAAATTAATCACAAAAAGAAAAGGAAATGAACTCATTCTTTTCTAAAAATAAAACAGATCTATATGTCAATGCACTGCAATATTTAGGAGCTGTAATCTATGCCATTCCAATCAATGCTTCTGGTTGTCTGCAATTACTGTGGTCAAAAAGAAAAGACACCATTATGTACCAGGTGTGCGTACAGTAAAATTTCAATCATTTTGTTTCAGTGATTACAAAAGGATTCCTACATGTAGTGGCTGCTTTTGTGTGTCAACTTAGAATCATCAGAGAGAAAGGAGCCTCAGTTGAGAAAATGCCTCCATGAGATCCAGCTGTAGGGCATTTTTCTCGATTAGTGATCAGTAGGAGAGGATCCTGCCCATTGTGGGTGGTGCCATCCCTAGGCTGGTGGGTTCATTATGAAAGCAAGCTGAGCTAGCCAGGGGAACAAAACAGTAAGTGGCACCCTTCCATGGCCTCTGCATCTGCTACTGCCTCCAGGTTCCTGCCCTGTTTGAGTTCCAGTCCTGACTTCCTATGGTGATGAACAGCAATGTGGAAGTGTAAGCTGAATAAACCTTTCCCTCCCCAACTTGCTTTTGGTCAGGGTGTGTCATCGCAGCAAAAGAAACTCTAAGACAACTGTTACAAAAACTAAACAACTCAGGAGCACCCAGAGGCATTCCTCTATTTTTTCTGCAAAGATCAATTTAAATTTTGAATGTTTTCAGGTTTTCTGAGAAGGTGCCTTGCTATGGTGAATAGGCTACCCTAACATATGAACTTTATTCTCTGAGTCACGTTTCCATTGTTGGGTTGGTGTTTGTTTTTTTTGTTGTTTATTTGTTTACTTTTGCACTGCATACATATAAACAATCAAATTACACCATTAAACTTTGTTAAAATTCCTAAAACATCAATCCCTGGTATGCAATGCCAGGGCTACCTGCGCCAGTGTCTGGGAACTAGTTAAAGGAGAGAAAAGGGAGAGGTGAGACCCTGCTGACAAGGCAGCCAGAGCTCCTTGGCTAGAGGAAAAACAAGGCTAGTCCCATAGGGAAAACCTGCAATCCAGTAGAGAAGTCCCACAAGCAGACACTAGAGTCTAAGAGTTGTCATGGTCATGGTGTCTCTTCACAGCAACAGAACTTTAACTAAGACAGGAGTAACTCTTCCTCAGCCTTGATGTGATGGTATGCAGGAGTAAATCTTCCTCAGCTCAATGTGATGATGTGCGCCTGGTCTTACTAGAGCTTGATACGCACTGTTTGTTGGTGTCCCTGGGAGGCCTGCTGTTTTCTGAGGGGAGGTAAAAGGTTGGTGAATCTTGGGGAGAAGGGAAGTGGGAAGAAAGACTGGGAGGAGAGGAAAGTGTGGTCATGATGTAATATATGAGAGAAAAATTTTAAAAGAAAAGAAATGATTTAATTGGAGCTGGTTTACAGTTTCAGAGGTTGAGTCCATTATCAGCATGGTTGTGTACAGGCAGACTTGGAGCTGGAGAAGGAGCTGAGAGTTCTACAAGTTAATCCACAGGCAACAGGAGACTCTGTACCATACTGGGCCTAGCATGAGGAGATGAGACCTCAAAGCTGGCCCTCACAGTGACACGCTTGCTCCAACAAGGCCACACCTCCTAACAGTGCCAATTCCTATGGGCCAGAGAGAGTCAAACACCCGAGTCTGTGGGGGCCATTCTCATTCAACCACCACAGCTTCATGGAGCTTAACAGGGCAAAAAGCATGGGTCTCAAGGGTAATGCCTAAGACTTCTCATTACACTGAGGCCAAGAACAGGAAGGAAAGTGGGTGTGTTAGAGAGAACAGTTAAGGATTTTGAAGTCTGTTTCTACAAATATCCTGCCTTACATTATTTTTTCTTTCTTGGTTTACGCTGCTCTTTCCATGTTAGTTGCTCCTCTCTACCATCTGGTTCCATTTACCCACCACTGAGGCAAAGGCTAACTAAAAGCATGATGCACACAGGTAGGGCCTGTCCAGGATGGGTGGACAGTCTCCTCTGGAGGGCTCCTAGCTGCTTCACAGAGGACATCAAACATATTTGTTTTCTGTTTTGGTTCATTTGGTTTGGGGTCCACTAATCTCCTGCTGGGGGTTAAATTCAAATGCTTACATTCTATCAGCTGAGTCAGGACACCTCAGTCCTGAGCTCTCTGCCTGTGTCTTACAGGTTCCCAGGAAGCTCCTAGGTGAGCCTTGCTAGGTGGGCTGCACAGAATATTACACTGGGAGGGGTAGCCTCACAATTGGGCCTGAGGAGAGCCAGCCTGAGCACTTTTCTAGTATCCCCGAGGGCCTGCCTCTAAGACACCTGTCACTTCCAGTCCACAGCCTTCCCAGAGTTCCGGAACAAGACGCTTTCTTCTGGTGCTCTCCAAAGCAGTTAGCATTCAGCTAAGTTCTGTACTACTTGACTTTCCAACAGCTCTGAAATGCCAACATGATGGTTCCTCAGTGCTAGGGCTGTAGCTCTATACCACCAACCTATGCCCAGCTCATCCATGGTTCAAATTCTCAATGCCAACTAGAGTTTTGAGAGAAAGCAAAGATGAACATATGTATAACCTGCTGTGCTTGAGAGCAACCCTCATAAAAATAAGTAAAAGAAAAAAATCATCTTCAAATACATTTATGTTGAACTATTTCATGTTTTTCAAGGATCTGGTCTAGCCTAGGCTGAAAGTGCCACTTCAGCACCTGCAGAACTGCCATTGCTAGCCCTGGGTGGCAGTACCTACTCTTAACTACTGAGCCATTTCTCCAGCCCCCATTGGGGGACGTGGTCTTTTTCTTAACAAGTAGAACTGTGTTTTGAGTACTACTGATGTTAAAAGATGAAGATTAGTGTAGAAACATTAGAGTATGCAATCCTGAACAAAAGCCCTATTCATATCCCAGAACATATTTAAAACTATGGAAACACAGCATGTTTGTAAGATTCTAGACTGTGTTAACTGGGGAGAAGGAGGTCTATCCCTGTACTCAACTGTACTCCTAAACTGTTGGCAAACCCAGGCCTTCCTTCCTTATGCTGCTTTGTCAGGTATTTGACAGCAACAAGAGAAGGCACTAATGCAGAGAAATGGTACCAGGAGTGGGGCTGCTGCTGGGATAAGCTCAACCACATGGTCTGTGCTCTCAGACCTAGTTTTCAGGAAGGGAACTCTGGGCTCAAAAAGCTCTTAATTATGTAAGCCAAGTTCAGTGGTTTATTATTCTGGAGCTGCCAATGGACCACAGACCAGGCTCAAGAGGTTTCAGATAGGAACAGGGACTGAGTCAGGAAGTGGCCACAGGCCACTCAAGTCACATTCTGGCTAAGAATCTCAGCTTAGTTTTACCTGTGTCCTGGGAACATGATTGAGGGAAGGGGACTGGTGAGATATCTGTGCAGGTAAGGGTACCTGGTGCCAAGCATGATAAGTGGGGTTCAATTCCCTGGAACCACAAGATGGAAGAAAGAAAACCACTCCAGTAAGTTGTCCTTTGGTCTCCACATGCATGCCATGGCATGCTCACAAGCCTACACACATACACTAATAAATAAATGTGATTTTTTTAAAAAATGTTAAACACTAACACACCTCTAGTCTCAGCACACAGGAGCCCCACCTAGGGTGTTTGCCTTGCTTGGTTTTCGCATAACGTTGGTCCAGTCTTTCCTTGTTATGCTGCCATTCCCTGATGTTGGAATGGGAATGTTTATCATGTTCCAATATGTACTGGAACTAAGTAACTTGTTCTCATTCCCTAGGAGCTGACAGTTAAGGTCCTCCACTCAGTCTCTAAAGAAACTTGGACTTGTAGACAGTGCTGAAACTATTAAAGAGATGGAAACCTGAGGATGGATGAATGCACTTTGCACCATGACATGGCTTTATGTCTATGGAGAGAAGAGGTAGAAGTTTGTGGCTAAAAAGTTTTATATGTGAGGGCAGGCCAGACTGTTTTACAGGCAATGGCACTTGCCACAAAAACGTGATGACCTGAGTTAGGTTCCCAGACCCCACAGTGGAAAGAGAAGCCGACTCCTAAACGTTGTCCTCTGATCTTCACCTGCATGCCATGGTGAACACACACACACACAAACTAACGGGCAATGGAGATATGTCTCAGTGGTTAAGATCACTTCCAGGGAGCATGCAAGAGCTGGATCCAGGGCCACTACCCATTAGTAACAGACATACAGCTTGGTTTTCATGTGGGTCCTCTAACAATTGGAGCGGGGGCCATCTCTGACTCTGTTCCCTGCCACTGAACCCTTCCTTCCATATCTGGACTGCCTGGTGGGCCTCAGTGGGAGACCTACTGGGATCAGATATCCCAGGGTGGGGTAGTACCCAAGGGGGAACCCCTTTTTATGAGGAGAGGAGGGGAAGTGAGGAGGATGGATATGTAAGGGTAGGACTGCAGAGAGGACCTGGACATACATCATGACTCACAACCATCCTTAAACCAGTTCCAGGGCATTCAATGCCTTCTTCTGTCCTTCTCTGGCACCAGGTGAACACATGGTACACATACATACACAGATGCAAAACACTCATACACATAAAATAAATAAGTCTAAAAATGCAACAATAATAAGTATTAAGTGATATGTTTGTTGGGTTCATAAGGAGCAGACTTTGTGATGCTTACACTGTTTGTCAACGTGACCGGATCTCCAATCACCAAAGAGACAGACCTCTGAGCATGCCTGTGACACAGCTTCCAGATTAGGTACCAGACCAAAATCAAAGGCAAAGGCAGACGAGCACCAGGATTCCATTCTCTCGGCTTCCTTACTGTAGATGCAAGGTGACAGCTGCCTCATGCTTCTGCTGCCACCACGCCCTACCATGATGCAATGCACCCTCAAACTCCAGGCAAAATAAACCCTTTCTTCCCTGTTCTGTTGGTTACAGCAACAAAACAAGTCATCCATAAAGACGTCAAAAGACACCTTTTCCTATTGGCTGTTTTAAGCAAATAGACGGTGTTGCAGGAAGCCTGGAGTTTTCAAAGTTGATGCTTCTTAAATGCAGTGTGTGTATGGTGGGCAGGTGTGAGCACAGGAGCCACAGTGCACATGTGCAGGTCAAAGGATACACAGGATGCACAGGATGACATGGTGTGATGGGCTCTTTCCTTCCACTTTTACATGGGGCTGCCAGGCTTGCACTGTTGGGAGGCGGTGCCCTTCCCCACTAAGGCAGATTCTACTTTAATCCTAAGATCTGCTGCTGACCTATTACTTACTGTAACTGCCAGGGGACTTGTCTTCATACGTAAAGTGAAGCTGCAGCTCCTCCTCAGACAGCTCGCAGATGAACACTTTCAGCAAGCAGCAAATAATAAACAAAGCATTGTGCGTCTGCCAAATGAAGATGTGGCTGGAAAGGAAAGACCAGAATTCACTATTGAATCATAAACAAGGCTGGCTTGTTTCTAGTCCGTGTGTCTTCATAATTTGAGGATGGCTCTGCACAGCCTGCTTACATGGGAGTGTCTGTATCTTATAGTTACACTGAGTCAGTGGCAGCTACTGTATTTTCCCTCAGATCACACTCTACTAAGTGAAATCTACTGGATTAAAACGGTTACTGGCACCTATGGGTCTAACTGTTTTGTCCGTAGGTTTATAACTGTCTCATGTGAAAGCAAAGAGAGCTAAAACTGTGGTAGCAGAAAGAGAAGATATACAAGTGCACAGTGGAACCAACAGGAGGCATCTGTGGCAGCACAATACAGTGCCTGCTATTTGTATTAATGACAGCAAATTTTTAACTGGATTTGGTATATTTCTTTATAAGCAGAGCCAATAAACAATCTTAAAGATACTATCTATCTAAAAACAGTTTTATAAGACCCAGCACAGTGGCTCCTGCCTGTTATCCCAGCACTTGGAAGCTTAAAGCACTAGAGTACCTGGTCCAGCCTAGGCTACTAACAAAATCAATGTTCTAGTCATAAGCAATCAGACATCCCCAGATCCAATACTTAAGGCATTAAGAGTTGTAGATGTGGAATAAGATAACACCAGTCTAAGTCGCTATTGAAACTAGCTTAGTAATCACGAGGAATGAAGTGGTTAACAGGAGGAAACACCTTTTATGACAAAAACCACATCGTGACAACAGAGGGTAATGGAAGGATGAACACAAGCAAATAAATGTCACCATAAAACCCACTTTATGTGCTACCGAAAACAAATTAATGATTCATTTAAAAACTGAATTAATTATAATTGCTAATCATAAAGAATATAATTTTAATAACTAACCAAGTGCTGGAATCAAACAAATTACTGAATCTCACAACAACAATTTAAGACCCTAAAATAAAAACTTCTCTTCTACTTTTTTTCTCTTACTAAAGAGTATGATTTCTCCACAGGGGTTTTCAAAAGACCATAGCCTATTTCCTCCACCGAATACAAACTCTTCCTCATAGTGACAAGCATGCCACGGTGACGCTGGACAGCAACTTACTTCTGACACTCCGCCGAAAGCCTGAGCTCTCTGGTTCTAGAAAGGAAGACCTTAGTTAGCGCAGCAAGATTTCCTGTTCGAGGGTTGTTTTCAACTGCAAGAGACAAGAACGGCATTTAACTAGTTAATATTGAGCATATCATACCACTTATAAATGTCACACTGAAATTGCTGACTGATCACTCTTACAGATGAGTTCACATCTAATTCTGAAAATACACAGTAAGAGAAAAATGCTGCTCTTATCTGTGCTGGATAACTTTATGTCAACTTGACACAAGCTAGAGGCATCTGAGAGGAGGAAACCTCAATTAAGAAAATGCCTCCATAAGATGGGGCCTTATGCAGGCCTGTAGGACATTTTTTTTAATTAGTGATCAATGAGGGAGGGTTTAGCCCATTGTGGGTGATTTCATCCCAGGACTGGAAGTCCTGGTTCTATGATAAAGCAGGCTGAGCAAGCCATGATGAGTAAGTCAGGAAGCAGCACCCTTCATAGCCTACATATCAGCTCCTGCCTCCAGGTCCTGCCCTGCTTGAGTTTCTGTCCTGATTTCCTTTGATGAGCATTATTATGCAGGCAGAAGCTAAATAAACCCTTCCCTCTCCAACTTGCTTTTGGTCATGGTGTTTTATCACAGCAAAAGATCAGTGACTAACAGATAGTTGTAATTACAAATATCCAATTTTTACTTACAAAGTAAACAGGAAGTGCAACCTCAAGTGAGGTAAGCACCAATATTACTGTAATTTTTTATATTCTTTTTAAATTTTAAAATGTATTGCTTTATTTTATGTATGAATGTTTAGCCTGCACATATATCTTTGCAACATGTGCATACTGAGAAGACCAGAAGCGGACATAGGATCATCTGTAACTGAAATTATAGACCATTGTGAGCTGCCATGTGGGTGCTAGGAATTCAACTCGGGTCCTCTAGAAGAACAGCTAGTACTCATAACCACTGACCCATTCTCCAGTTCAGTTTTTCATATTTTTGTCTATAGGTTGTTACTTTCTCAAGAACAGATCCATATCTACTGGCTCAAATTCTTAGCTATTAAATAATTATTGGAAATAACGAATTAGACATAAAAAAATCCATAAAACATATTATACATCATAGAAAGTCTCTGAAGCACAAAAACTAAGAATTCGACAGAAAAAAGACACTGTTTAGTCCAAAATTTACTTTTACTGCTGAAGAAAGCTCACAAGGTTTACATGTTGGGTGCAAAGTTCAAACCTTGGCAGCCACTAGGGCACAGTCACTTTCTTGGCCAATGTAAACATAGATTCATAGACATTGTTGAACCAGAAATGCAAACACTGAAAGGACACTGGCCTGAGCTATCAGAATTCATTTTCATTCAGAACTGAGAATTGTGTATCTACGTGAGCTTCTTGACATGTGTCGAAGAGTGTCAAAGATGGAGTTCTTCAGAATATACTTTTAAAAAGTACTGCAAGTCTGCTGCGGTGGTTTGAAAAGGTTTGACCCCCATAGATTCATGTGTTTAAGTGCTTGCCCACAGGGAGCGGCACTAGTAAGAAGTGTGGCCTTGTTGGAGTAGGTGTGGCTTGTTGGAGGATGTAAGTCACACAGGCGGGCATTGAGGTCTCCTATGCTCAAGCGCCACCCAGTATGGACTCAGAGCTTCCTCCTGGCTGCCAGACAGCCTCCTGCTCTTGCCTGTGGATCAATCTGTAGAACTCTCAGACCCTCCTGCACCATGCCTGCCTGGATGCTGCCATGCTCCTGTCTTGAAGATAATGGACTAAACCTCTAAAACTGTAAGCCAGTCCCAATTAAATGTTGTCCCTTATAAGGGACCTTGCCTTGGTCATGTGGTCTCTTCACAGCAATAAAACCCTAACTAAGACATCTGTAAATACATACATACAGTAAGAGAATATACAAGGGAAGCCAGGTATAGGTTCTGAAACCCCAGGAGGGTCCACTAATACCACTACAAATAGAGACAAGGCACACTGACAAAACTGTACAATGCATCAATGAGTCCATGAAACAAATTACTATCATCACCATCATAATCAAGAATGCTACTGCATTAATTCAACTCATACTATACCATTAAATTGCCAGCCGGTGGTGGCGTACGCCTTTAATCCCAGCACTTGGGAGGCAGAGGCAGGCCGATTTCTGAGTTCGAGGCCAGCCTGGTCTACAGAGTGAGTTCCAGGACAGCCAGGACTACACAGAGAAACCCTGTCTCGAAACAAAAAAACAAAACAAACAAACAAACAAAAACAAACAAAAAAACTATACCATTAAATTTTAACAGAAAAATTTAAAAACTTCCTGTTTTTCTCTCCCTTCCCACCTTACCCAAAGACTTGCAAACTGAAATGGTTGCCTCTTCCAACAGCTTCAACTCAGTACTGTAAAGACAAAAGACATAAAAAGTAATTTAGAATGCAACACTAAATATGTATACACTAACAGAATGCATCTATTGGAAACATAAATCAAAACAAGAATACAGTTAACAAGGAAGAAATAAAATTAGCAATATAAAACAAAGCCACACAGCCTGGGCTACAGTGTAGATCCTGTCTCAATTCAATTTTCAGTGTAGTTAGGAAATTTACTCTAATTGACAAGAGAGCAGAGAGAAGAACCTGGGGAGCCCTATCTTGCAGGACCTGGGAAGCGTAATCCATAACAGAACAAGGCACTGACTGATCACGCCCATATTGACAGAAGTGGTGTCACGCTCAGCAGACATGTGAAGTACGGATCTCAATACTGTTGAATAGCTGAGCAAAAGGCAGGAATGGTGTTGAGTACCTGTTATAACCAGCATTCAGACAGGAAGACTACCATGAGTTCAAGGCCAACCTGGACTACATGAGCTCAACAGGGAACTTAAGAACAGCCTGGGCTACATTGTACACCCTGTCTCAAACAACAACAAGAAAATTACAACGAACAGAAAGTGAAGAAACAGGCAAGAAAAGAAAGACTACACATATAAACTTCACTGGTTCTGAGACACAGAAAAACATAAAGGCATGGTGATACACACCTTAAATACCAAGCTCTGGGAGGCAGAGGCGGGGGAGCTCTGTGAGTCTGAGGCCAGCCTGGCCTACAAAACCAGATCCAGGCCAGCCAGAGCTACATAGTAAGACCTCATATGCCCTCCCCCCCAAAAAAAAACAAAACAAAATAACAAACAAAACACAGTAGTGAAAGGTTGTTTGTTTGTAAACTCTGTAACTCAAAAGTAAAAGGAACTCCAAAACATCCAATTTAAAAATGGGCAAAGGGGGGCTGGAGAGATGGCTCAGTGGTTAAGAGCACTGACTGCTCTTCCAGAGGTCCTGAGTTCAAATCCCAGCAACCACATGGTGGCTCACAACCATCTGTAATGAGATTTGATGCCCTCTTCTGGTGTGTCTGAAGACAGCTACAGTGTACTCATAAGTAAAATAAATAAATCTTAAAAAAAAAATAAAAAATAAAAATGGGCAAAGGAAAAGGCTGGGCAGTGATGGCAGCACTGTAAATTCTGGAACCTTTGTAAATTTGAGGCCAACCTGGTCTGCATAGAGAACTCCAGGACAGCCGGGACTATGTAGAGACAGCTCAACAAACCAGGAGTTGGGGCAGAGAAAGAGAAATGGGTCCAAGGTTAAGAGCACCAGCTGCTCTTACAAAAAACTTGGGTTTGGTTCCCAGCACCCTCATGTAGGTTCACAGCCATCTATAACTGCAGTTCCAGGGAATCTGACACCCGCTCTGACCATCGCAGGCACCAGGCACACATGCACACATGTAGGCAAAACTCTCCCATACTGAAATCTTTTGTTTACTCATTTGTTTTGAAACAGGGTCTCTCATCACGGTCTTCAGAGATCAGCTGATCTCTGCATCCCTAGTGCTGGGATTAAAAGTGAGCACAACCACGCCCAAGGTTTTTTTTTCTTATTGGGAAGGCAGCGGCTAGTGCCTGACACGTGCCTTTAATCCTACCTAGCACTTGGGAGACTGGCAGAGTTCTGTGAGTTCAAGGCCAGCTTATCTATAGTTCCTGGACAATCAAGGTGGCATGGTAAATAAGACCTTAATCAAATTAGAAATGGGAATTCAGAGACATGGGAGGCAGGCACAGGGGCTAAGCCATGTTTGGGACATGGAGGCCAATCAACACAGGTCATCTGCACAAGCTGTAAATTAGTGATCTTAACCATCTCTCTGAGGGCAGACGACCCCCGTGGCCAGATGGACAATCCTCCTAGAGCTGATGTTACCCATGGCTGTGAACTAAAGTGGGTGCTGGGGGTCACTCTCAGGGCCTCTAGAGGAACAGGAAGTGTTCTTAATGGCTGAGCCATCTCTCCAGCACCAAGAATGTATCCTTTGAAGCAGTTTAATTTCCTTCTCAGAATGATCCCACCTCCTTGGAAAGCTGCTCTCTGTGGCTCACCAGGCAGCTAGCACCAGCCTTTCTGAAGTGAGGCCCATGGAGCCTTTCTCTCCTCACCCACAGCTAGTTCAACTCCCACCTCAGCAATCACTTCTGGCAAAAGCATCCTCAGCGCCCACATTTATGTTCCATGAAAGCAGAGCAAGTGTAACAAAATAATTTTATGGCTGGGGTCACCATGACGTGAAGAACTATATTAGAGGGTCGCAGCGTAGAAAGGTTGGGAGCCGCTGCTGTACAGGAACTCAGCCAGGCACATTTACTGCCGCAATAGAGAAACTATCTCTCCTCTCATCCGTCCACTTTCCAGCTTCCTACACTTCTCAGGCATTTAAGAATAACGTGCTTTGCCAACCGCTTGCCTTGGAGTCCCAGTGGGGTAGAAAGCAGCTAAGCTGGCTGGCCACGGTTGCAGCATTACAGGCACCCAGCGCTTTTAAACAGATGAGCTCAGATGTTCTGGCAAGAGACAGTGAACAAATCATTTCAAGTAAATACAAGTAGAATGGTACTGCAAAAACATGCCAATATTTCCAAGACAATCACAGTCAGAAACCAAATGTTTCTTAGGACAGACCTGGGGCACTGGAAATATGCCAGCAAATACTAATTCCCATCAAATAAAGGATGCCACACAGAATACTTCAAACTCACTCACTACAGCAGGACATTAAAAGATTAAAATTCATAATCGCATAATCAAACCTTTACCCCCAAACTAAACTCTATTAAACCACCACCAGGGTCCTGAAGCCATCTTTGTCTGAGGCACATCGGGCACCTTCTTGGATCACAGCCACTGTCAGTCTCTGACAGCAAGAGTTACAAAAAGGAACAGTCACAAAGAAGACAATCTTGTTATTTCCGGTGCCATCTCAACACATAGCAAAACTGAAGAGACTGGAGGATGATGACAGAAAGTACTCCCTGTCCGTCCCCCCCAACTCTCCTTACAGGGTTCTGACACTCTGGCCTCCACAGGTACCAGGCACACAGGTGGTGCACATACATATATGTGGCACACATATATGCATGCAGGCAAACCACTCATATCCATAAAATAAAAATACACTTGAAAGTACCTTTTAAAAACAAGAAAAATGTATCATGCATATAACATGTTATAAAAATTATATCGAGCTGGGCAGTGGGGGCATATACCTTTAATCCCAGCACTCTATAGAGCCAGAGGCAGGCAAATCTCTAAATTCTAGACCAGCCTGATCTACAGAGTGAGTTTCAGGACAGCCAAGGTTACTCGGTGAAACACTGTCCCAAAAAACAAAAACGAAATATATCTAGGTCATAATTACAATTGCACAAAACAATGTGAGTAATTAGGAATTATACCAATTTAAACATGACAAGGAAAATGGCAAGCTGACCTGTGACTGACCACTATGGAACCATCAGGCCCAGTGGATTCAGAAAGCAAACCTCTAAAGTACATAAGTTCTTTCACTCAGGGGTTCTAGTAATTTAGACTGGCTGCACTTTACTTTTTAGACACACCAGTCTCATACGCAACAGTAAAAGATGAAGATTTCATAGTTCAAACATTTTAGAGAAAACAGACATGCCAAAAGCTGTTGGGGGAAATTACAAGAGAATTTGTTAAACAAACCACAATTATGAGGTTTACAAACCAAATGATAAAAATGTCTTTGTCCCTCTCACTGAAAATTGTCACAGAATTTCTTCAAAATTGACACTTTATACTAATGTCATTTTTAGCCTACAAGTGTACCTATTCTAACAAATATGCAATCTTTGTCAGTTTAAGGCAAGTGCTAAGTAAATCAACAAGTGGCCATTCAGAAAACCACAGAGGCATTTCTGAAGACTCTCCCCTTATGTCAGCAAAGAGGGAATTACAGAAATCATTCACCAAACTAACAAGAATTAGCCCACTCAGTGGTTAAACTGCAGGAAGGTTCATTTAAAAAAAAATTCATAATAAAATTTTAAAGGATAAAATTGCATTTAAATTTATTGCAGAAAATTTTAATACAACAGGCAGAACCAAAAAAGGTGTATTCGCGTAGCTCACAGACAATCTATATGCTGTCATTCAACAGCCAACATCAAAGGCCTGGAACCATTGCACTGTCAAAACTTCAGCAACCGCCATACTGGGTAAGACTGCATTTATTTTCTCAGGAAAACAGGAGGAATTAATGACTTTAAAATTCAGATCTCACACGCCTTTAATCCCAGAACTTGGGAGGCAGAGGCAGGAGGATTTCTGAGTTCGAGGCCAGCCTGGTCTACAGAGTGAGTTCCAGGACAGCCAGGGCTACACAGAGAAACCCTGTCTCGAAAAACCAAAAAAATAAATAAGTAAATAAAAATAAAATTCAGATCTCAATGCTGCTGCGAAAGCAATCGAGGGAGCAACGATTCCCGTCCCGGCCCTGTCCTTCAGCACTGTGACGATGCTTATTGTTCCCATTTAAGCATTTCACTTGTTTCTTTCAGTCAGATACTCCTGAGCTAATTCGTGGCAAATCTCTTTTCTGTTTCCCAAGTGAGGAAACACGTTTAAAATTAGAATCACTCGGCCTAGCCAGAGAAGACACACTCCCTTCCAGCAAGGTGAAAACACTAGACGAGCCACCTTTCCCTTGCAGGCAAGCCTGCCAACAGTAACATGCAAGCACAGAGTGTCTGTGGGTGAGGTGTGAGCACAGCTTCACAAGTGTCAACTGTGAATCGGTAACCTCATGATCCTTTTCTTGAAGGCACGGGCTCATTTTACAGGATGGCTCTCTGGTCCTCGTTTAAAGCTCAGTTTGATGAGTCCATGCATCCAAGAGGAGATAGTGGCACATGGCCATCAATATAATTCATCTCTGGGGATACACACACACACACACACACTCACACATAGACACACACACACACACAGGGTTACATTTGGCCCTTACCAGCTACTCACTGTATATGTAC